CGATAGTGGTGAGACAACAAAGAGCTATGGGGTGACATGGCTCCCCGAACATTCCCGAACATTTCATAAATCACCCATAGCTTTTTGTTGTCTCCACCACTTTCTGAAACCAATAGTCCGTTAGAACCCTATCGGAATAACGTATCCAATTCATTATCCCATTAGAGTTTCTGACTACGTTTCAGGGGGCTAAGAGTAATTATCGATACCACAGGAACCTTACCGTTATTTAAGCTTACCTCAGGGGGGTGTGTGTAATTTACCCTAATTTATATTATCAAGTTGTTGATCGTAATTTCTCTTGCAAAGAACTAAAAGAAATACCTATCGAAAGAGAAATAGAAGATAAGCAAACTAACATATCATTAGGGTTTAGGCTGGAAATTTGCACGAGTTTCCCGAACTTTTTCAACTTCAATTCAATTTTTTTGATTTTAGAACAATATTTTTCTTTACGAATAAATTCCAAAAAATATTAATTGTTATTTTTTTATTTTTCCGATGGTCTGTGGATTGGAATTGAAGTTTATATATACATGATTCCCATTCGCAATCCGTTTTTATTTTATTATTATGCATATTTTAGGGAATTGCTATTTGCGGTTTGAAAGTTGCTATTTGCGGTTTATAACTAAACCCCCCAAAAAAACACTTAATTTCACTAAAACCCTAAAACTTCCCAAAAAATCCACCCCAAAACGCGTAAAAGCCCAACTTGGGCGCCCATTCATGCAGTGCACGCCCAAGTTGGGCGTGCAAGCTGCATTTGGGCGCCCGAGTTGAGCGTCCAGTGCAATTTTTTTTTTTTTTTAAATATTCGAACGCCCAAGATGGGCGCCCAAGGCGTGTAAGAACGCCCGGAACGGGCGTTCGTACACGCCTTGGGCACCCATCTTGGGAGTTCTAACATTTTTTTGCGAAAAAAAAGCCATACAAATCGATTTGTAGGGCTTTTTAACATGAAATTGGTTCCGTAATCGACCTACCCAATGCATATTGTACATAAAAGAGTCGAAATTACATCAAAAAATCGAAGCCCAACCCTTCTTCAAGCTTGATTTTGAATTTTCGATTTTTTTTTTACTATTTGCAGTTTGGGGGGTTTTTTGATTTTTTTGAAAAGTTTTGGGGGGTTTTGTGAAAAACCGCAAATAGCAATTTTGTAACCGTAAATAGCATTTCATATATTATAACATGTGTGAATAAAAAATATAATTTCTGAATCCTTATTTGAGAAAATTTTTAATCTTGGAACAAGTTTTTTCATTTAAAATTCAAAACTGCAACTTTTAATTTTTTGCTAAGTTTTTGGAAAATGAATTGGAATTAATTTTTGAAATCCAAAAATTTTGTAAATGTCAAAAAGGTAATAATATATAGGATTGGTGTAGAAAAAAAATCTCAAAGTTTTGAAGTAGTTCACGTGATGCAAAATTGCATCCACACAAGGCGATTCAATTATTACTATGTTGCTAAAGAAGTCACATGGTGAAGAAGGTTCCAGAACTTTCTGCAGTTTGTATGTACTACAAATTGGTGAGTTCACATGTGCAACTTAATCAATAGTACATATTTTAAATAATTAAGACATCGAGCCCAATGGTTTTGCTATTAATTCTTCCCGTACTATATACGGACGTCACAAAAACTTTGCTACGGTAAATGGCTGTAGCTGATAGTTTTTTGCTACGGTGATTCCTAGCATTTAGTACGACTTCAAGATTGTCCTTTAGTATAATATACATTTTGTTTCGGTAGAAAAAAATCATAGTAAAAAACTATTTTTCTACTAGTGATAAAATGTAAATTGTAAAAAGAATCATTTTTTCTATTCTGAATTTTTGAAAAAACTCCACATATATTATTAATAATAAATACCTTTTTAGGGAATATTTTGTAAAAGATTGAATCATGGAGGGAGTGTTGGTTAGTAAAATTAACACAAATTGTTTTATAATAACTAGCATTTCTTTTCCCGTGCGATGCACGGGATCATATTTTAAAAGTGAAAGAAAATAATCAATTTAATAGATAACAATAAAAATATAATACACTAACATAATAAAATTTAAGAAAATACTATTCATATTTTATGTAACATTAGTTTTTTTACGTAGTAAGAATTATAATCCAAACAAATAAGTTAAGATTTAACAAATCGAATTTCTATCTTTATCTCTTAAGATTTGAGATATATTGATGAAAAATAGGAGATTGAAGCCGGATGGATTCTTCATGGTTCAGTGTCAATTTTAATAATTGTTGAAAAATATAGTTAGAAAATTAGTACATAAAAAATATTAAAAATAAATAGTTATTAAAATACCATTAGCTTTCTTAGGATTGCCTAGCGTTTCTTTCTTTTGTATATAAGATTAGAGTAACTATAGACATGTCCAATTCAAAGTTTAAAGAGACAAATAACTTTTAGGATTTTTAATTACATGTGCATTAGTGATTTAAATTATAACTCTTGGATTCGAGATAAAAAAACACCGGCGTTTGTTTATACATGTCCACCACCCATGATAAGAGAGTTGAATGACCCAAAGTGATTTAAATTATATCATAAACGGTATTTTAGAGAAAATAAAGCTAGGGAATGGTTGTGTTTTTGGACTAGACATATATTCATTTAATTTCTTCTTATTGGGGTTATATCTAATTTGTTCTTTTAAAATATGTGAATATTATATATTAATAGATTATTAAATTTAATAAATATACCTATATAATTTTAATATTTATAAACATTGAGCTTGACCACGTACTCATTTTGCGTTTACGGAACTTTGGACTGTGCGAAGAAAATAAGGTGGGCCTCAACCTAGATTGCAGACATTGCAATGTTTAAAGGAAAACTTAAGTGAGTTTCTGTATTAAGAATATATAGAATGCTGCTCGAAAGTCTTAAATTCTCCAATGTTTATACAAATGATTTAAGTCCCTATTTATATTAAATTCTGACCTACTGGATGAATAAGATCATTTTACTTCTACGGTGCAGTGTAAAATAATTATCTAGAGCATTCATATCTAGATATTTAAAAACGAATATCCTAGAACTATTCAAGAAGGGGCTTTAGTGCATAAGTCCTTAACAAACCATCTTTATTATTTTAAGTTTAGGGGTTATATTTCTTTCGCCAATAAGTCTATCCCTTTAATATTTATTATAAATAAATGAAAAATTCATGTATATGACAAAATTACCCCCAACCCTTTACACCAAATTTTTAATTGTAACCCCAATTTAATCAATTTTGACCACAAAAATCCAATTCGACCTTTTTTTTTTCAAAAAATATATTTTACCACCGATCTCCGGCGTTGACTTTTCAAATTTTTTGATTTTTAATTTTTTTTGATTTGTTGACAAGTCAACGTTATTATATTACTGTCGTTTACAGTAAAATATCTGTAAACACAATAATATTATTGTCAACTACATCAATATTATTATTTTTTTGGGTTTTTTTGTTTTGTTTGAGTTATTCATGGAGTAACGTAATAATATTACTGTTTATTATTGTAATATTACTGTAAACATAATAATATTACTGTGACTGACGGTAATATTACTGTTGTTATAGTAATGTTATTGTCACTCACAGTAATATTAATTCTTTTGGCATTTTATTATGTTTACCTTTGTTGAATGGTCAACATATTAATATTACTCTATTACATAATAATAATAAGTTTTGTGTCTTAATATTAATGTGCTAGAGATTAATATAACAATATTATTGTGTTAAACTGTACTATAGTTAATTTATTTTTTTGAAAAAATGACTTTTATTAGGCATAGGAAGCCACTTCAAAAGGAAGAGTATCACCCTCAACATAGACGAAATTGTCCATTTAAGCAAGTGCATGGACAAGACAAATGCCTTGTCTTTTAATAAAACCAAAAGAACAGAAAGAAAAATACTGAAGTAAATTAGAACAGTCTTCAATATAGGCACCAAAGGAAGAATCAGATGCCTCTCTCCGACGTAAGGCTTCCATTATCTCTAACGAGTCGCTTTCAAGGAATAATGAATGCCACCCTTTAATTTTTGCCTTGGTAAGTGTATAGAGAGCTGCGTGGGCTTCGCCTTCCACGGCGGTAGGGCGGCCCGAGAATTTGCCAATGCTCCACCAGATAAACTTTCCATTTGAATCTCTTGTCACAATAGCCGTTCTGTAGAAGTCCTTGCCCGTTGGAAAAGCGACGTCCAAATTGACTTTCACGACACCTTGGTTCGGGGGAGTCCATGCCGTTCTGTAAGGTTGTTGTTTTAGTGGGGTATGAATCAGCTGGGCTTGCTGATACGCCGAGATATACGCCGATGCCCATGATGGTAAATCAACATACTGGATACCCATCTCCCTGTTCTCTTCTTTGTTTCGGCTCTCCCACGCTTTCCAAATCACCACTGTCGCCAAGAGAAATAGGTCCTTAGTCAGTCTCTTTTCCAAAAATTCCAACCAGCCCCACATGTTTGGAAATTCACCCAAGCGATCCAAGTTGAAGGGATGGCCTGCCCATACACAAGAAATGCCGCTGCAGTTTTGGAA